CAAAGGATCAGAGTCGAGGACCAGTCTCCGCTCATCCAATGCACGAGGTGCCTCGCATTTGGACATGGTCGAAAATTTTGCACCGAGAGTGTGGACAGATGCAGTCACTGTGGAGGACCGCATCTGCGCGAGAAATGCGCAGACTTCATCGCAGGGACCGAACCGCAGTGCTGCAACTGCTCACACTCTGGGTTGCGGAAGGCCGACCATAACGCTTTTAGCGCCGAATGCCCGATACGAAAAAAGTGGGATTACTTGGCTCGCGCTAACACAACATATGCATAACCTAAACGCAGGACATTACACAGCACGTACACACAGACACAAAGCACACAGAAACAAAAACACAACACACACAAACATGAAATACACTACAACACGAACACAAATGATATACAGAATGTATATTGAATATACACGATTATATCAGCACAAAAACACTTACATGAACCACAAACAGTAACTCGAAACAAGCTAAAACAAAGTATAAAATCTAAATCGTTAAAGAAATAGTCAATAAATATGTATAAAATTAATATATATATGTTATTGTCTAAGCGAAGCGTGTTTAAGAATACAGAAGGAAAGTACAAAATCAAACATAACATGACAGAAACTCACCAATCCTGCAAAGCAAAAAAAAAAAAAATTGTTAACAGCAAACATTATAATTAAATAAATATAACTAAATAAATAAAAGTGCTTACTGTTGTGCAAATAATAGATATAAGAACAGAACTAAGATAGATATATCAAACGGAAGAATGTTAGAAATAAGAAAATAAGTAAAAATATATACAAATGTAAGATTTATAGATGTAAAAATAAAACTAAGAAATAAGAAATGCTAGAATGTAACAAACATAATGATAAGTATAATAGTTATAATTCATGTAAGCCCATAATTATGTAAATGTACCGAATTTTGTAATGAAAACAAAATAAGTAAGTAGAATAGTAAGGTTAGCATAAGAATATGTAAAGTATAAAAAATATTGTACACAAAACTGAGGTTAAAAATAAAACTCTAAGGAACTTTATTTTCCCAAATAAAAGAAAAATATATAAATATAGCATAGAGTAGCGGGAGTCCCACCCGACAAAGAATGATTGATGATGAATGTAAGAAAGACCAAGTATGCGGCTTGAAAGTGCGAGAGGAATACATGTGAGAACTGGAATGAATGAGTATATAGATAAATAAGGACCCGGTGTTCTCATGATCGGGGAAAAGCAGAAAAAAAACTTTGACATTGAGCGCTGCGCGATTAGTCGCCCTATTGGACCCTACAAGGCGGTACCTTTTTTGGATTTTTTCGGCCAAGGACGGCCGAGAAAAACACAAAAAAACAAGAAACCACGTGGCACGTGGTCAGCGATCCAGGACACTGCGGCTATTTTTGATGATCTATTCTGATGCAGAACAACAAATAGAAGATTTAAACGTTTGCGGATGGGAAACAAGGTAAGTTTTCATAGAGTTAGAGCCGTTTAAAATTTTCTAAAACTTTAAATAAAAATATCTCGAGAAAGCGTTCGATAACACATANCTAACCTAACCTAACCTAACCTAACCTAACCTAACCTAACCTAACCTAACCTAACCTAACCCAGTCGCAGCGCAACCGCGAACCCAAGCGCCACGATTATACGTCGCTCCGCGGTCGAAAAATCGAAAAAATAGTTGAAAGTGCAAGGATTTCAGTGATATTAGTGTTGAAAGAAGCGGAACGTGACGAGGAACCTGACAGTGAAAACCGCGTGCTCCGGAGACAAAGGGTTCGAAAGTTATTTGGAAAAAACCAGAAAATACTACGTTCTCAAATCACAAAGTTGCGTGCGCCGCCCGAATTATATCTGTGAGGTGGCATTTTTCAACTGCTGTTTTCAAGCTACAGGTACCACGCACCTTCCACCCGAATCTCAGATTTTTCCGCTGGAAAAAGACGGAGCTATACCACATAAAGCGGAAGCCGCGTGGCCACGTGGTCCCTCTTCCACTGAAAATCAGAAGACAAAAACTATATCCAGGGATAGCCCAGGGAGCCTTCTCTCAAAGACCGTTTGGACCTTCACGAATTTTTACTCCAGGGCGGAGAAATAGGTACCGAAATAAAAAAGTAAACAACACCTTAACTTTAAACTTCAATAAATCAAGATTTACATCGATAACCCCCCCTTTTTCTTCATGATAGACGTGGCCTGGACCATCTCCAACACTCTCACAAAAACCAGGATTTTTAGCCCTGGGAGTTTTGGAGTTATAGACATTCTTCCTACTCGGGCATAAGTGCAACGAGAGCAAAAAGGAAAACAATATTTTCTGTCTCAGCGGGTGGTGAGATATTAATTGTCAACAAAGAGAGGACGTAGGCTGCGTCACTCGAACTGCGCACAGGTGCGAGCGAGCGACACATATACCCCCGTCTCAAAAAGTGGCGTGATATTTGTTGTTTACGTTTAGAACCAACGCAGTCAGTGCTACGCCGCACGAACAAAACACTATCGGCGTAGGACTCCACGTAGGCGCGCGGCGTAACCTCGTAGCATCATTCGTAGCGCAGTCGCCGACTGCCGCGAGGAGTAATTGTGTGGAGGACTGCGTACTGATAAGCGGCCACTTGGGACTAATTGGACGAATCTTATTTTATTATATCTATATTTATAAAGTAAAAAATTCAGAACTGTTCTTTGCCGGTTGAGCGAACTTATTTTATTGTGCTGTATTATTAAGTGGAAACCTAAAAAATTTAGAACTGTATATATTTCTGCTGCGCGTGTTATGTATGTCTTGGAATAAGTTATTAGTTTGATTAATTCGTGAATCGCTTGTATTTTTGACCAGCATCGATAGCGGAACAATAGAATAAAAGTATAAAATATTTATCTCAAGCCGTAGGAAACCGAGTGAACTTGTTGACCAATAGAACAGCGCGGCGGTGACGTGATATCGATGTTGTTTACATGCAGGTGAGCGGATGAGTCACGCGCCGCACCATCTGGTCCCGTCTGTTGTCTCTTTAAGTTTGAACATTTAAATTTGAAGTAAAATAACATTGTACATAACACAGCCAGCTTATTGCGTGCGCGACAAATGAAAATGGAACGAAACTGAATAGCGGTTTGGTTATATTGTATCAAAGAAACTGGATGTTCATATTTAAATTTTCCTTTGTTTCTTTATTCTTTTGTTTATTTTAATTCCATTTTGGTTTTTTTTTTTTATCCTATTTATTTATATCTTTATTACTAACTGTACATACTTTCGCTGTGCATGTTATGTCTAGAAAAAGTTATTGGCTTGACTGATTTGTGATACATTTCTATTTTGGCGAACATCAGAAGGGAACAATAGAGTCAAATAAATATAATCATAGGCAGAACCCAATACTCTTAGGAAATATAAAACTTTGTTTGAAGCCGCAAGAGACAGATAAGACTTGCGACCAATGAAACGGCGCGATACCGGTGGCGTGATCGTTTGTTTACATACAAGCGAGCGGCCGGGTCGCGCGCCGCACCATCGGGTCGTGTCTTTTGTTTCTTTCTGTATTATTACATCGTACTTGAACCGCATTAATATTGGACATAACACTGCTGGTTTGTTAAAATGTCGTATTAGACAAGTAGAAAGACAATATTGACTGTCGGTTTGGTGACTAGTTGACACTAGAATACAGCGAACGTAAATGTGCATACTTGTAATATTTTTAGTTTTATTAGAGTATTATTATAGCGTATTAAAATATTATTAATATTAGTTTTATTGTAGTCGACATACACCATTGTATTCATTAGAATTCTGGATCGTCATTGAATTGACGTTATATTATCAATTCAATTTATGTTCATTTGCACAAATACAATATATACAAGTAGATTAGTTTTTATTCCATATTTGACACAGACCCCCCTTTACAGGGTCTAACAAAACATATCATTTCAAGTGACAACTTTCCCCGACACATTACACACCGTACTCATACTCACACAATAAAAATGTACCGCACACCCACGACTTCGGGCGCCGCTAAAAACCCTACCACTCCCAGCCCTGCCACCACAACCGCAGTGGCGCAGGGTGCCGCAAGGACGTTTATCAAAAGACCGGATGCCAAAAGAAGATCACTGGATAATATGGACGTTTATAAAAAGCAGCAACAAAACTACGCTGCACTACCAAGTGATCAGCTCCTCCAGGAGATAATGAAGACTTTTGAGGACATACCCTCGAAAGTCCAAGAGTACCCTCAGATGAGGAGGGACATCAAACAGTTCCTGGAGGTGCAGTCAGATAAGGGTATACGAGCAATCTTCGAGCTCAGTAGGCGCATCCAAAGTCTCGAAGCAGAGGCCCCGAGGACAAGGACGCTTACAGAAACCTCGTCGTCTGATGTCCAAGATATCATCCTTGGGAGGCTGGGAGAGGTAGAAGCGACACTAACCGAGCGACTGAACAATATGGAGAGAAGTCTGAAAAAGGACATAACAGAACTGAATGACGAAAACGACAGCCGAGGCTCCGACGTGATTGACAAGATCATCGACCGGATCGACGAGACCAGAGATGCCATGGACAAAACGACCGAGGCGGTCGAGAGTCGAATGCACGCTCTCGTCAAGGATCTGGTCGGTGGTATTGCCGATGATGTCGTTGCAGCCAAAAACGAACTCACGGAGGTCGCAAAAGGATTGGCATGCCAATCAAATCCAGCCCCAGTCCCCAGATCGTACGCCAGCGTCGCAGCAGCCAAGCATGTCCACCGTCCTGCACTTCATTCAATGGCGGTCACCCTTGAAGGTAGTCAGGAGACTGCGGACGAGGTGCTCGCCAGGGTGAAAAGGGCGGTCGATGCCAGAGGCACTGGCCTTAAAATTAATAAGGTTCGAAAGGCCAAGAACCAAACGATTATACTGGGCTGTGACACTGAAGAGGAACGAAAGAAAGTCCAAGAAATAATAGAGAGTCGCGGGGATGGACTGGTAGTAGCGATCATGAAGAACAAGAGCCCTCTCGTCGTCCTGAAGGATGTGTATGTGGATAGTGAGGATGACGATATAATTAAGGCGCTCCACACACAAAATAAGGACATATTTGTGGGTATACCTGAAGAGAACATGGAGATGGTTATCAAATTTAAAAAACGTACAAGGAATCCAAAAACAGCGCACATCGTTCTCCAGGTGAAGCCGAAAGTATGGCAGAGGATGACGGAAGCTGGAGCCCTCTATCTGGACCTTCAAAGGGTCAGAGTCGAGGACCAGTCTCCGCTCATCCAATGCACAAGGTGCCTCGCATTTGGACATGGTCGAAAATTTTGCACTGAGAGTGTGGACAGATGCAGTCACTGTGGAGGACCGCATCTGCGCGAGAAATGCGCAGACTTTATCGCAGGGACCGAACCGCAGTGCTGCAACTGCTCACACTCTGGGTTGCGGAAGGCCGACCATAACGCTTTTAGCGCCGAATGCCCGGTACGAAAAAAGTGGGATTACTTGGCTCGCGCTAACACAACATATGCATGACCATGCAGGACATTACACAACACGTACACACAGACACAAAGCACACAGAAACAAAAACACAACACACACAAACATGAAATACACAACAACACGAACACAAATGATATACAGAATGTATATTGAATATACACGATTATATCAGCACAAGAACACTTACATGAACCACAAACAGTAACTCGAAAAAAGGTAAAACGAAGTATGAAATAAAAATCGTTAAAGAAAAAGTCAATAAATATGTATAAAATTAATATATATATGTTATTGTCTAGACGAAGCGTGTTTAAGAATACAGAAGGAAAGTACAAAATCAAACATAACATGACAGAAACTCACCAATCCTGCAAAGCGAAAAATTGTTAACAGCAAACATTATAATTAAATAAATATAACTAAATAAATAAAAGTGCTTACTGTTGTGCAAATAATAGATATAAAAATAGAACTAAGATAGATATATCAAACGGAAAAATGTTAGAAATAAGAAAATAAGGAAATATATATAAAAATGTAAGATTTATAGATGTAAAAATATAAGAATAGAACTAAGACAGATATATCAAACGGAAGAACGTTAGAAATAAGAAAATAAGTAAAAATATATACAGATGTTAGATTTATAGATGTAAAAATATAAGAATAGAACTAAGATAAATATAACAAATGGAAGAATGTTATAAATAAGCAAATAAGTAAAAATATATACAGATGTTAGATTATAGATGTAAAAACAAAAATAAGTAAGTAAAATCTGTAAGGTTCGTATAAGAATATGTAAAGTATAAAAATAATTGTACACAAAACAGAGGCTAAAAATAAAACTAAAGAACTTTATTTTCCCAAATAAAAGAAAAAAAGATATATATATATAAGTATAGAGTAGCGGGAATCCCACCCGGCAAAGAATGATTGACGATGAATATAAGAAAGACCAAGTATGCGGCTTGAAAGTGCGAGAGGAATACATGTGAGAACTTGAATGAATGAGAATATAGATAAATAAGGACCCGGTGTTGTCATGATCGGGGAAAAGCAGAAAAAAAAAAAAAAAAAAAAAAAAAAAAAAAAAAAAAAAAAAAAAAAANGGACCGCATCGCAGTCCGCAGCCGCCGACGCGCCGTCCCGTCCTCCTGGTGCCAGCGCGCTAGAGTGACGGTAGCGTGCGGCGCAGCCTCAACCCCCTTAGGTCGCCCCGTGACCATCACCGGGAGGAGACTGCCTCCTCATAGGGGCTGGAGCTGGACAAACGCCCTCCTCCGACCCCCGGCTCGACGGCGGCGGCACGTAAAAACCTAACCTAACCTAACCTAACCTAACCTAACCTAACCTAACCTAACCTAAACCTGAACCTGAACCTGAACCTAAACCTGAACCTAAACCTGAACCTAAACCTGAACCTAAACCTGAACCTAAACCTGAACCTAAACCTGAACCTAAACCTGAACCTAAACCTAAAACTAACGACGACGACGACGACTTCGATTCGATTGGACGTGAATCTGATTTTGGCGTGTAATGTGTATGTGGGTGAGTGGCTGCGGTTCGGCCGGATATTAATATTACGCCCCGGAGATTGTACCGGAAGGACGGCACTGCCGCATCACTCGTTACCCAATAACAAATTTACGCTTATTATATGTAGACTCGCCTTAAACGGCTTTATTCGGAAGCAAAGGAAATCTAAAAAAAAAAAAAAACATTTATCAGTCGATTAGTACTATGCCACCGTTTGTTGGGACGAATAGTAT